CCCGGGTCGTCGTTCGCCTAATCGCTTCTCGGGGCTAGAGGGCACGACCCCGATTGTCAGGGTCGAGGCTTTCAACCAGCCTAGTCAGCCTCTGCGCCGAGACCCTTGTCATGGATCCCATCCCGTAGTGGGTGGGATCGTACGCGCGTCCTGTCGATCCGTATTCGGACGGTGGGTTTTGTACCCGTTGCCACCGCTGTGCGGTGTTGTTTTGATGGTGCGACGTGGCACAGGGATGGTGTCTGACCGGACTGAGGTGACCGCTATCACATCGGCCCTTGCGGGGTCAGTGCGACGTGCCTGCTCTTGTCAGAGCAGACATACTGAGCCGCGCTCGGTCTCTTCCTAGGGGTCGTGATGGGGGAGAGGTCGCGCGTCTTCCGTGTGTCTAAGGCAGGAGAAGGGGTCGTGGCCGACCCTGGCCTAGGCATTGGTTCGGCATGCTCATCCTAGCTGGGCCTCGGTCGTTCGGGCCATTGTTAACCCGATGAGTTGCGGGCCGCATGGCCTGCCGACTAATCGGCGTCTTGAGACACCCCGAGGTCATAACCCCGACAATATGGAACTATACCTTTCAAAGATATTAAGGGTGAACGGAGTATGTGCTCCCTTCTCCTAACCTGTGTGAGCCTTTGTCTTTCAATCTTTAAGTATTTGCTGACTGAACTGAGTGTATTTTCATTTCCTGTGCAATGTCACTTTCATGTTACAGCAATCTACCATATTCAATTAAGAATTCATTACATGCTTGCATGTTTTGCTTTTTTATTTATTTTATTTCGTTCTATTAGTTTCCTTTTTACCTTTATTTTAATGGATGTTTTATCAGCTGACGGATAGGTAGTTGTAGCTCAGTTTCAGATCAATATTTCATTGTTTAGTTCCTGAGCCTTTTAGTTTTTTGTGCATGCGGTCTAGGCTTTTTTTTTCAAGTTTGGCAAGCGTGAGCTTCAAGTATTGCGTTAATCAAAGTAGCCTTGCGTTTTTTGAGCAGTAGCTGCTGTTATTTTTTTCTTTATTTCTTTTAATCTCTCTTGCTATGAGCTTTTTATAGTGTGCATGTATGTTGATAGCAAGACCAGTTTGATAGCAAGACCAGTTCAGCTGCACCTTATGTTGTTTACCAACTAGCCATTAAACTAATTTTGAATTAAATTTGAGGATCCTTTTGGACTAAATTTTTCTGTACCCTAGTTTCAGTTTCAGATTTCTTCTATTACTGAGGGTCAGACGACCTGGATGTCCGGCGCTATGGCTGACATCTTTTGGCGAATCAGTTTGCTTAGATTTTGATTATGTAATCCTGGAGTCTTGCACTAAATTAGCTGTCTTTGTGCATGCACGTGGTTGCACTAAATTAGCTAGTTCCCTTTTGCCTGTCTATTTGCATGCACGTGGCCTCGATCAGGAGAAGACTGGATTGCTTATAGGGCACTGTTATCATATTGCTTCTAAAAAAGGCATCATTGCCTTAGTTAGTCAGTGCTGAGCAGTGAAGTCACTACTGAAAATCCTGCACAATTATATGAATTGAAATCTTCTCCAGTCTTAGACAAAATGATAAAAGTTGAACTCTTTCACATGTGTTTTTTTTTATGCCTCTTTCGCATGTGTTGAGCAGCAGCAGCTCATTATCAATTCACAATAGCTTGCTTTGCTCAACTGAAATATATATTGTTTTGGCTTTAATCTGAATTATTTTCATAGCAACTAGCTGTTTTGTTTTTTAGTTTTTCAGATTTAGAGTTTCAACAGCAGTCAGGTATAGCATCCTCCTGATTCCTTCATAGTGTTTTTTATTTATAGTGGACGACAGTAGAACAAGGATTCCTGGTCTTGACTTTTTATTATCATTTTAGTTTTTTATTATCATTTGTGTTTTGTGAGATTTTCAGTTATAGTTTTAGTATGTCTGTGGTGATACCTGTGTCGCTCCTATGTTCAGTCTTCTGGCAGGTCATAGTAGCTTGTTGTTGTGCTTTTCCTGTTGGCCAGCTGCTTGGTTTCTTCTTTGCTAATTAGCAGCTCGAGCTTGTAATTTATTTCAGCATCACATCAGTTTAGTGCTTTCGGTTTCTATCTTGTTATAACTGCACATATCTTATTTTCTAATGTTTTTTTTTCTGAATCCGATGGCTACAAAAAGGAAGAGTTCTGCGGACCATGGTTTGAAGATTTTCAAGATGATGAGAGTGTAAGTATATCATTTGTAGATAGTCTATTTTTATATTTATTTGTCAATTCTTATTATTATTGAGTTTGCCTTTATTTTTCAGGTTTTGCTGATGTCTGCTCATTTAGAAATGATGCAAAAGTTTATTAACTTTTGTAAGGGGAGGGTATGTTAGTTTTGGTTTTCAATTCTCATGTTTTTAGACTTTTAATTGTCTTATTTTGTTTTAAATTACTAGCAGTCCTTCAAAAGAAATGCACTCAAGGAGAAACTTACAACATATTTTGGAGAGCATTTGTCATCTACGTTGCTGCAAATGTGGTCTGTCTTGGGCGCCAGTTTTCTTTCCTTTCTTGTCCGTCAAGTAGGTGTTGTATATGTATGCTAGATATATGATACCATTTGGCTGTGTTTTTTCCTTTTTATTATTTTCTGGAAGATAACAACTGTAGAAATCTTCCAGAAGATAACAACTATAGAAATATAAAATTCTTCCAGATTTTGTTTCATGTGACTACATCCGCTGCTTTTTTTTTCTTTTTTGTTTGTTTGTATCATGTGACGTGGCAATCACTGATTGGTTGAAAATGTGGAAGACAACAAACAGCAAAATCTGCCATGAGAAGCAATAATAGCAAACAACTACTAATCTCTAACAACAACGGTGGCAACAAAGCAAAGTCCCTTGATAGTGAAGGCCCAGTCCACGTGGCCCAACAATTCTCCATCCCCACGTCGGCAGCCCAGCAAGAAGAAGCAGCGTCGCCGTCGTCCTCTTCCTCTCCCTTCGCTGCCTCTCTCGGCTCGCACACACCATCACACCATCGGCCAAATCGAACCTAGCGCCAATCGAGCGTAGCACAAGCCGCCAAACTGAGCTTAGCACTAGCCAAAATCGAACCCTAGCACCGGCCGGCGGCCAAATCGGATGGCGGCGCTGTCACATCCCGGTTCAGGCGGCGGCACGGCCACATCCAGGAGAGGGGACGGCGCCGGTTAGCCACGCAAGCGCCAGCGGACTAAAGGCGCGCCGCGCGGAGGCCGCACACAGGAGGGAGGCGCGCAGGCGGCGTCGGTTCGCTGTGGGGGGAACAGGCGGCAAGCCGTAGTCGCTCATGCGCTACTGCAACCTGCAACAGAGGCGCACGCCGCGCAGCTGTACAGAGCACGGTGAGCACACCAGGTTGTTCCATCCAACTTGGTTTTGTAGCAATTGTTCAATTGTTTGTGGCTGTGTAGCAGCTAGCAGGTTGTTTTATTTGGGTTTTAATCTGAATTTTATAGCAACTATGCCTATTATTCAATCAAGCCAACCTTCTGAATCTGTACAACTGCAATCAGAACTAATAATAGAAGGATCATAAATAGTACGAACAACAGATAGCAATTAGCAATGCAAATGTTATGCAACCAGGATCAGTAAAAACAGGAGCTGATCCTAATGTGCAAAATGAACCTTGTGTTGTTCTTATTGATGAGATATTGTTGCTGATCCTGGGCTTCGCATGCTGCATAGCTCATTCTGCATATTGCATTTTATTGCATCACTGACACAGTCAGTTACACTATCAGATTATATTTTCATATTGTGTCTTTCATTTCTTTGAGATATCTACTAAATTATGCATTTCATCCTTCCCTTTTGTTAGCTACTATTGGTATGTAGGCTGGGTTTGAGTCTTAGACATGAAGATTTGCTAGCTCTGCTACTGGTTTGGAGGTAGGTGAAGAGGCAGCAGGAGGAAGACCAGGTTGGATCTCATGATACCATGTAGAGAGATAGCGAGTGATAAGGCAAACACTACACAACCTTGGAGGGATGACCTTTCATGTATATAGCCAATAAGAATACAACATATACAATATGTGTACAACACAAAAGGCTATACAAAATCTCACACAAATCAAGTTGGTTAGCACATTTTTATCACCCAATTCTGATTTTTAATGGAAAGATGCATATTAAGAACATAGAAACCCGAATGAACTCCCATTTCTTTTTTAAAAGTTCCAAAATGGCAAACTAAACCTGAAATATTAGATTAATGATGAATACTAAGATAATAAATTACAGGCTAGTTTTTGAGATGTCATCAGTGTTTTTAAGGCGTCGCTTAAGCGCCAAGGCGCTGCATGCACGACACCTTAGCAGACGACTCGCCTTAGATTTGTGTGGCGTCCGCCTTACAGCCGAGGCGTCCAAAAAACGTCGCTTTGGCGTCCAAATTGCGCCAAATCGCGCATGGCAGGCGCCATACGAGGAAGCCTCTACTCTGGACAGTGGGAAAACGCAGGAGAATCGGCGCGAAAAAAAGGAAAGAGAGAGCGCGAGCGCATGGAAGAAATAGGCGCACGCTAGAGAGAGAGAGAGCTGGCGTGCGGGAGAAACAGAGCGCAGAGAGAGCAAGCGCGCGGGGGGCCCTAGTGAGCGGGTGAGGAAGAGGAAGCCGCAGCTCACCCGCGCCGCCACATTCATCCTCGCTGCTGGTGCCGGGGGAAGTTGCCGCTCGGCTGTCCGCAGCCGAGCCATGCAGCCGTGCCCTCTTCCATCTCAGGAAGCCATGCAGCTGTGCCCGCATCTGGAAGAGAGGGAGGGAAGAGACAGAGAGAGGGGCAGAGGCCGGAGGCGGAAGTCAGGAGAGTTGCGGCAGCGCTGGAGTCTAGAGAGGATTGGGGATTTGGGAGCAGAGAGATGAAGACATGCTTGGTGGGTGAGGGGCACATGGGCTGCCTGATGGGCTGGGCCAGACCTATTCTTACTCCTCCTCCTTTCTTTTTCCTTTTTCTTTTTTTTTCTCTTCACCATCTACTGCTCTGAGCTGCTGTTTTAAATTTTTCTTAAGCTGTTAAGGCGTCGCCTCGCCTTACGCCTTACTCGCTTAAGCATAAGGCGGTAGTCAGTCGCCACGCCTCGCCTTACCGCCTTGAAAACATTGGATGTCATGGTATAGCCTTTGAATAGTTCTATATAGTAGTTCTGTTTTTTAATTACAGTGAATCCCCTGGAACAGAAATAAGATGGACATAATTTAAAATTCTGTAATGCTATGTGGCCGGATATGTTACACTTCAATATATGAACCACATTGGCAGTGACACTATTCTCCTACTTTGTTAATTGAATGTTACAAAGCTCAAGGGTTACAATTCTGCATAAATCTTCGTACTTGCACATCCGCATTTCATGGTATAGTACACATACATGAAACTGTCATGTTCTCTGATAGCAATTGTGGCAAAGAAAAACACAATAAATGAAATGATGAGCACCATTAATTCTTCTTTAGCAGGATCCTTTTCTGTACCTTCTGTTGAGAGCTCATCATTGTTTGATTCCAAACGGGGTCCATGGTCAATGAAATGTAAAGACAGGAGAGGGTCTCCAAGAAATGATTGCTCGTCGAAGGTGGAGAGTTGGCCAGTAGATGGAACATTGCCAGAGAGAAGTGAATTATATGAAACATTGAACTTACTCAGTTTATAGAGCTGGTTCAGACTTGATGGAAGTTCATTAGAGAAGTTGTTAAAAGACATGTCAAGGGTCTCAAGGAGTACCATCTGACCAATCTCAGATGGAATCTCACCAGAAATTATGTTCCTAGAGATGTTAAGCACAACAAGTGACATTTGACTAATCTCTGATGGTAGGACGCCAGCGAGCAAGTTATCATCAAGAAGGAGCAAGTTGAAGTTTCTCATTGCAGAAATCATGGGAGGTATTTGTCCTGACAACAGATTCCCTGAGAACCTAACATAACCCAAGATGATACATGGCTGGACAGAAGGTGGTGTAACAATACCATACCCCTTCAAGATTCGGTCCTCTAGGCTCCGACAGTCCTTCCAAGACATCTCTGATTCTACATAATTGAACCCTGGGTAACCGAGGGGAATCCACCGCATCACAGAGAGACACTTCCTGGTGCCAATCTCCAATTGTGCAGCATCCTTCTGATTCCTAGCAAATGTTGGACTTGGGTCTCTCCCAACACCTGCTATCTCTGGGGGAATCTGACCAGATAGCTTGTTTTCCGCAAGGTTGAGCCAGAGCAAGCTGGTACAGTTCCCTATTTCCTTTGGGATCTCTCCAGAAAGTTGGTTTCCAGCAAGCATCAACACGAGAAGTGAGGAGAGGTTACCAATATCTGCAGGGACACCACCAGAGAGGTGGTTGTATGATAGGTCCAATATTTGGAGCTGGGCAATCTGTCCATACACCGGGGGTATCTGACCAGAGAAGTTATTCTCAGCAAGCACGAGGTATTTGATGCTTGTCATGATTGCGACCTCCGTGGGTAGCTTTCCGAAGAACCGATTGAGGCTGAGATCAAGCATGATCAGCTTAGGTAGTCTAAGAATGCCAGAGGACACAATTCCATCAGTATAATTGTTTGAGTGAAGTATGAGATGCGTCAAACTTTCTAACTTCCCAAAGAATCCTTGCACCTCCCCACCAAAACCGTTGTTACTAATGTCCAAATACTTCAGTGCAGTACAATTCATTAAGCTAAATGGCATCTCACGGGCAAAGTTGTTGCTCCCCAGGATCAGTTTCTCAAGCCCAGGAATTACTCCAATTCCTGGTGGTATCTGCCCATCAAAACCGTTCCCCGATAGCGACAGGTATGTCAAACTGGAGCAATTTGCTATGGAATTAGGCAAATTGCCAAACAAATAGTTGCTGGAGAGATCCAGAAACAGTAGTTTGCATCCCTCTGGGAACATGTCAAGAGCAATGCTTCCAGTCAAGGCATTCTCAGCAGCATTGAACTGAATTAGGCTTGCAATGCCCTGTGTGACCTGGCCAGTGAAGCGATTCAAACTGAGATCCACATATTCAAGCCATGAACAGTTATCAAGCAAGCCAACGATGTTGCCACTGAGGTTGTTGCTGGAGATGTTGAGGATGGTGAGTTCGTCACAGGTTGCAAGGAAGTTCATGCCAATTCCCCCCTCGAACCGATTCCGTGAGACATCTAATGTTCTCAGCTTTGTCAGGCTGGATATGTTAAGGACTCCACCTATGAGGTTGTACGAGAGGTTAAGGTGCTTCAGTCCCAAGCATCTGTTGAGATCAACTGGGAGTTCACCAATGATAGAATTGTCTGAGAGATCCAGATGAATGAGGCTTTTGAGACCTGAAAAATTGCCGAAGAACGGTCCTGATATGCTGGAGCTAGAGAGGTCAAGGGAACTCACACGGCCGTTCATGTCACATCCAACTCCTTGCCAGTTGCACGGGGAGGCCTCTGACTCCAACCATCCATCGTACGCTCCTCGGTTTATCTGGTTATGTGTTTGCAGGAAGCCCTTGAGCTCGATGAGGACCTCCATGTCATCGTTGTTCCCGCTTATCAGCTCAGCTGTACAAGTACAAGTAATGGGATCAAAGTTAAAAACAACATGATTTAGAAATAGCAGAGATGCAAGAGCACAGTGATCGACTCATACCAAAGATTAGTACTGAACACATCAATTCGAGAAGATGCTGAAGCCTGGACATGGATGCAGGATTATGGATTGTTTGCCTCTCTGGAGTTCATCAAATAACTGTCTGTCTTTGTTTTTGCGTCTTGTCCAGCAAAGCTCTAGTGGCGCGTCAATATATATGTGTGTGGCTAGTTGTCATATATATATTGTAAAATGAGGAGCAGGTCTCCCTCTGTTTCGTGGAAACGCATACCGAAACTTGATATATTAAAACCAATATTAAATGATAGGGTTTCCGTCAAGTAGTCTATCTCTCCGTGTGCTGGAGAGATTTGGTCAAAAGGCACATGCTTTCAAGCCTTCATTCGCAAGAGAAATAACATGTGATTAATGGTGCCTTCTAAATTTAAGTCACCTCAGATGAACATAACAAATAGGTATAATATGAAAATATTAATGTTGACATGATAAATATTATTATTTTGTTATATAAATTTGGTTAAATGAAAAACTTTGATAGTGGATGGAGGGAGTATATAATAGTGGTGTCTGTTTTCAAATTTGATCGAGCTTAGCTTATTTCATTAGATTTCTTATGGGAACGGCCTAGGTTCGAATCTTGAACTTATATAGTATGAATGCTCTAATTTAAAGGCTAAAATTTTCTTTTAGTGTTCTGTGATGTGTCAGACTACAACAAGGTATATGTGGTGACTTCACCAATTTAACATTCCGTGGTCTTAGTTTTTTAGATGTATTAATTAATAAAGCTGGATGTGAATGGATGTATCATTAGAGGTGAATATATGAGCATCTATATTATTAATATGTTTTTTTAAAGAAAAGATTATTAAACTGCTCATCTGGTGTAATTCCCATTTGTAGTGACTGATGGTAGCTGTGGACGCCAACTACTCGTGCTAGCAGTAGTCTTGAATTTTTGTCACTCGAACATTTTCTTCTCGATCGCTGATGAAAGTTGACTATCTGTTTGAAAATTGTGAATTTCCTTAGCTTCTTTCTTTTCTAGAGAACGTGATGAGCTGGTTTTCCAACCGTTTTTTCAAAGATGCCAGCGTCAACCTCCGCCTTGAATGCTGAACAGTGTTTTGATTGCTTTGGAGTCTGGAGTTTTGTTAGGGATGCAAATGGATCAGATACAGATGGATATCGTTGATCCGCTTCCGTAGGTCGCCGCTCCACCACGGCATTGCAACTGGGCGAGCAGAGCTGGCCGTCGTGCTGCTGCTTTACCGAGCCAGCGTGCAGGGCCTCGCTCCACCATGCCGTGCGAGCATCGCTCTGCCACACCGAGAGGAGAGAGAGGGAGAGAAACAAGAGGAGGAGGAAAGAGAGATTTGTTTGCCCACTGACACGTGGATCCCATATATAAAGGGATGAGGTTTGCCCACTGACACATGGATCCCTTATACTCTATAATTCAGTTTTCTCAATCCCTTATATCAAATTTTAAGGGAGTTACAATACAAGTTGAATTTGGGTTTGGAGCTTTAACTTCAACAGTACATGTATAATAATAGAGTAAATATACGGACGATCCTGTAAAGGAATGGCACTTAGGTTCACAAATTTTGAAAATATATTTTTGGGTCCCAAAACTTGCTAAGTTATGCAATGCAATATTGTAGGTCCATTTCTGGAGGATACCGTCGACTTGAGTGCGCCAGTTAACAAGTTTTGAATCTAGAAATAATTTTTCAAAATTCATAAACCTAAGTGATATACCTTTTAATAAGTTGAGAGATGTAGGAAGACGAAGCAAGCCCCAGTGATTCTAAGGAAGGCTACGCAAGCTGGGACATAGGCCGGCCCAATTTGAGGAGTGATGCAGCCCAATCAAGACCCGTTCCACCCATAAGCGCAGCACCAGCACCTGGTTGAGGCTTCGAGCACCAGCACCAGGCATATCCACCACGAGTCCACGAACGGCACCACCATATATTCACCAACTATCTTTATCTTAAAAAAGAATTCACCAACTATCACGTACTAGATTTGTTTATCAAATTGATAATTATAGGTTTTCTATCCTCTGTGTTTTGATGACCATTTGGTGCGCGGTGAATTATGTGAGAGGGTAATCATCCTCAATCGTCTTCTATTCTGTTCCATTCTTCAAAAGGAGGAGGCATACCCAAATTGAAGTGGGCATGTCAAATGATAGAGACCGCGACAAAGAAAATATAGTCGTAAAAAATGAGTGGCTATCTTCTACTCCCTCTAGTCCAGTTTATAAGGTGTGGTTTAACATAGCACGATCATCTAAATTACACTTTGACTATTTATTTATTTTATACTATAATATTTATGTTATAAATTTAAAGTACATTTGATTACAAATCCAACCGTATCAAGTATGTATTACAATAGTGAAAAATGGTTGCCTACTTTTTACTAAAAAAATGTCAGTCAAATTATTGGTTGAAGATTGTCAAGTTTGAATCTTAATATACTATATACACATGTGGCCTTATAAACTGGGCTAGAGGGAGTAAGAGACAAGATTGAGAATATGCATTCCTCTTTCCCTATAAATGGCAATAAAGAGAATTTGGTAGAAAAAACAAGCTCTAGCAAATCCCCTTTCTCAATCCCTTTTTCCTATATTTTTTCTCAATCCCTCAAAATCTCCCCTCATTCCTTCAAAGAAAAGGGAAGTGACACATAATTTTCTCAATCCCCTTTCCTCCCTCGACTCGTGATAACTGTTGGATCCATGCATCTACGGTGCTCGTTCGTCGATAGATCGTCGCCTGCCGGAGCTAGGGCCGATCACACCGTTGCGCATGGGCACCACACAAAGACAGGACGGGGGCAACCACGCTGGAGCTAGGGCCAAACACACCACCACACAACCTTGTTTTTGCTTTAGACATCACTTCCTACATTGCAGCTACCGATGCTAAAATCTCAACATTCTAGAGCAGCGCAAGTTGAAGCTTGGTGCTATATGAGTCCCATACTGTAGATAGCTCCGGTTCCAAATTTGTTCCACACTGCAAGTAGGAAAAGTGGTTCACTATGGGACTCACTTTTAGGTCTATTTGGTTTCGAGGACCAACAGGGGCAAGACGGGACGGCCCCGACTCCAACATGTTTGGTTTGGAGGCCTCCAGGGGCGAGGACATCCCGTGCGGGGCTTGTCGGAGTTGAGGAAGAAGCGAGGGCTCACCGGAGTTGCCGGACTTGAGGAAGAAGTGAGCGCGCAGGTGAGGTCTGTCCTGCCCCGCCGCCTGGACGTGTCCGTAGGGAAGGGGAAAGGAGCAGGCGGTGCTCCTGGATGTGTCCGTGGGAAGGGAAGGGAGGGGAAGAGGAAAGAAAAAAAAAAAGACCGTTTGTAGTAGCAGATCCCACTTTCCTCACATCCCTTCTCAGGCAAATAGAAAAATGAAGCCGGTCATCTAAAAATCAGAGACAAACTAAAAATCAGAGATAAAGACCATCCCACAACACGTTCTTTCAATCAAATGCTATCTAAGCTCTACTTGCACACTATGGAGGGCTTTAGACAGTGTAAGTTTGGCAAAAGAAAAGGTACCAACATAGTAAAAAAAGTATTGTCATAAAAAACATAGCAAAATAAGTACAAACCCTTTTTTATAATATATATAAGTAAATATATGTAGTCCTAAATTCAAACATTAACCAACAGGTCTTTGAGGAACTCGAGGAAAGCCTCACGCGACGGGCCCCCTTCCGCCAGCGCCTCGGCCGCTCGGTCCCTCGCCGCCGCCGCATGCTGCCTGAGCACCCGCGCGCCGTCGGAGTCCTCCATCACCCACCTCACCTTCGCCTCCACCTCTTCAGCCGTCACCACGTCCTCGTCGTCCCTCCTCATCTCCACCCCTAGCTTCATCTCCTCCACGATCCACACCTTGTTCAGCTTCTGCTCCGCATACAGCGGCCAGCACAGCAGCGGCAGCCCCGCCACGACGGCCTCCAGCGTCGAGTTCCACCCGCAGTGCGTCATGAACGCGCCGGCCGCCCTGTGGCGCAGCACGTTCACCTGCGGCGCCCACGACTTGACGACGAGTCCCCTGTCCTCGGTGCGCTCCGGGAACCCGGCCGGGAGGAGCGCGCCGACGTCGTCCGCGGCGCCAGGAGGGCTCCGCACGACCCAGAGAAACATCTGCCCGGACCTCTCCAGGCCGGCGGCGATCTCCTCCAGCTGCTTCTTGGGGAACGCGCCCATGCTCCCGAAGCAGAGGAACAAGACGCTGTGATCCGTCTGCGCGTCCAGCCAGCGGAGGCACCCGTGGTCTTTGTCGCCGCCGGGCGACACCACCGGCCCGACGCAGTAGACCGGCGGCGTGGGGCGGCCCGGCACGCACAGCCCGTCCCTGAGGGCCCGCATCGCGCGCGGCTCCAGCGACTCGAAAGAGTTGGCGAGGATCCCGCGGGCCTCCGGAATCCGGGCAGCCGCGCGAATCATGCCCCTGCACGCCTCGCCGTCGTCCGCCAGCGCCGGTGGCAGGTCCGCGATTCTGAACGGAGGAACGCCCGGTAACGACAAGACGGCGGACTCGCCGAGCTCCGCGAAGCTCGTGCCCACGCTGGCCCGCATGGTGGGAAGGCCGAGGAAGCAGGCGAGGCCGGCCGCGCCCGAGGGGGAGAAGAAGTAGGCGGGCAGGCCGAGCTCGGCCGCGACGTCGAGCGCGTCGGCGCAGAATATGTCGAGGACGACCGCCTGGACGCAGCGCGACGCCGACAGCGTGCGGAGGAAGTCGCGGAGCGGCGCGTTCGTGGCGCGGAGGAAGCGGAGCAACCGGGCCAAGGGGTCCTCGGGCTCGGTGTCGCCGCCGCCGTCGGAGGCCGGCGGGGGAAGCACGTGCAAGGCGACGGAGGTGTTGGAGGCCTTGGCGCGCGCGACCGTGGCGGCGAAGCCGTTCGCGTAGACGGGCGGATCGAAGACCACGATGGCGACGTCGACCTGGTCCCCGCCGAGGCGGAGGAACGCCTTGGCCAGCTCGAGCATCGGCGCGAGATGGCCGACGCCGACGCCCGGGTACAGCACCACCGTCTTCTTCTCCATGCCTCGATTCGACTGACGACGACTCAACTGCCAGCTGCGCACCAGCACCGCCCGCTCTTTCTGGAAAGCTGCTAGGCTGTCTGGTTGTGGGACACGAGTATGCAGTGCACACGCCACAAGCGTGCAGCCACTGGGATCAGTCAACACTTGTCATAGTGCCCACGCCTACCGCCAACGCGGCTTTTTTACTCAGGGCATTAATACCTAATGAAGAGTACAAATTCATAATGGATCTGACTAAGAAAAAATAAAGTAATCCGCATATGTATGCTATCAAATGATTTTAAAGAAACTTTACGTTAGGTTCCCGTTTAGGTAAACTATCACTGGTTTTTAAAATATTCCAACTAAAAAAACGATCAACAAGAAATCCAGCAATGTTTTATCCTTTCATCATACCTTATCTTTATTTCATCTCCTCTTCTTTTTTAGCATGGACCATCTTCTCTCTCCCCAAACATATGTAGCTTCTATAAGCTACTATGATAAGTATAGAACACATATTTTTTATCCGATCCTACATGGCATTTAGGGCTACTAGTAAATAAGCAGCGTTGGGAAAGCCCTTAGCCCCAAGGACCATATAGGATCGGATAAAAAAAGTACTTCCTCCATATCAAATTATAAGACGTTTAACTTTTTTATACTAAATTTGACCACTTGTCTCATTTAAAAATTTATGCAAAATATCACTTTTTTTGTCATGGCTTGCTTTATTAATAAAAGTTCTTCAAGAATAACTTAAATTTGACTATGTTTTATAAAATTTTTTGAAAAAGACGAGTGATCAGGATAAAAAAATTCAAACGTCTTATAATTTGGGATGGAGAAAGTAGGTGCTCTGCACTTATCACAATGGCCATGCAAAAGCTATATATGCTTGAAGGAGCGAGAAAGTGGTCCATGCTGAAAAAGAAGAGGGAGAGGAAATAAAGATGAGATATGGTGACAAGAAAAAAGTTTCTGTACAAACTACAAATAATGATAATTTGCATTACTTGAATAATAATTTCAACATTTTGTAGTATACGTGGATCATTTTATTTATATTGCAACTAAGAGTGTCATCGGTGACGCCCTAGCAGCCACTAGCAGTCAAGCTAGTGTTGAGAAACGTGTCACGATGTCACGTGGAGAGTGTAGGGGAGAGTGATAGGCCGATAGGGAAGGGATGATGTAGAGATACATAATTTCACAACTCTTTTTTTTTAATAATAAAAGTCGAATTCTAATTTGGGGATTTAGTATATACCTTCACTGCTGCAAAATGATTTTTTTTTTCTCATGGTCAAAAATAAAATAGAGCCGGCTTTCAAAACCATTATCATGCCATCGATCATAAAATAAGTCATTTCAGGACTATTCCTAAATCGATTTCAAGATTGCTTTTGTTAAGTCCATCCTAGAAATGATTTTTAGAGGTGGTTAACTTAGTCAACCGTCCTTAAAGATAATTTTTAGATTTAAGAAAAAAGTTTAGTAGTTATAAAAAATAAGAAAAAATATTTTAATGTGGCCAAAAGATTTAATTTTTGGTTTGTTTCGCAAAAGTGTAGCCATGGGGAATCAAATCCATGATCCATGACCTTAGGAAAGCATGTACTGCCTCCAAACCACCACATCACATAGTAACTTGTGACTATGTATATATGATGTTGTCTTTTTTACTTATATGTACAAATCTTATAATCAATATGTCGTAAACAATGTTAAATGAGAAAGTTATCAACTATAAAGTTTTAGATTTCGTGAAGCACAATCATTTTGATATGGAGCATTCTCCATCCAAGGACATTTCAAAAATTTGAACTCAAAATATGAGAACTTAATATCTCTCTCTCTCTTTTACTGCTTTCTTGTCTCATCTTTGTTATCTACGCTAGCAAGGACCTTGATCTTACTTCTAGGCTCTGACAAGTACACGTCCGCGTGTAGAATTGTTTATCCTTGTGCCTTGTTTGTTGTCATGGAAAAAGCTGATGAGCCTGATAGGGAATTGTTTCTTTTAAACCAGAAAGGGAATATCTCATCATCAAATGAGCACAATGGTATCTAAGGTAGGAATACCCTCTTCCCAACATGTTGTCCTGTCCTAAGACGATTTCTACATCAATGGCGTTTTTTGAAACCCCCGGACCACTGGCCTTGTGCTGTTACAAAACGCATTGAATGGATGAATGTTTCTAAAAGGGCCTGTTTAGTTTCCTATTTTTGTTAAAAATTTTGCTGTTTTTTATCTATTTTTGAAAAATGAATCTAAACACCATAGGTAAAAACAACAAAATTTGGGTTGCAAAACTTTTGGCATTTGGGATACAAGAGGCCCAAAACTGGGCAAAAAAAAAACATCTTGGGAGCATGTGCTGTGTATATATGGCTAAAGTTTTGCCATGCATCTAAACACCAAATGCCAAAAGTTTTACAGCAAAAGATTAGGGGCAAAAGTTTTGCCATTCCAAAAAGCATCTAAACACCCCCTTAGTTCCCTATTTTGGCTAAAACTTTTGCTATTTTATCTCATCTTTTGGCAAAATGGATCTAAACACCATAGATAAAAACAGCAAAACTTAGGTTGTAAAACTTTTGGCATTTGGGACCCAAGAGGTCCAAAACTGGGACAAAAAACGTCTTGGGAGCATGTCTGTGTGTCTACATGGCTAAAGTTTTGCCATGCATCGAAACACTAAATATCAAAAATTTGAATGGCAATAGTTTTACAGTAAAAGATTAGAAGCAAAAGTTTTACCATTCCAAAAGCATCTTAAACACCCCAAGTATAGGACCAGGCAGTTGACCATTAGTTGGATGTGATTAATCACTGAGAAGACTAGTACTGTGTGGTTCGAAAAGAGTAAGCTATCTATCTTTTTTAGGTGTCGCTGTGTTATTCGAACACGTACAAACACAGAGTCTACATACACATACATATGAACACTATACACATACAAACACGTACTAGTACCCTAGATCCGACCGCGCTTCGGACGCAGGCCCCTCAGTGACTCTCCCCTACGGACGCCCTTTAAATTCCTTACGCCTCTGTGTGCTGCCTTGGTGTGTGGTGTGGCGTGGAGCGTAGGTCCGTCCAAAGGCTCCTGCCGGTGGAGCGTAGGTCCCTAATTGCAAGCCCAGGTCCACAAAAAGGAGGTAGCCCAGATTCGACTGCACATGGCCACATGTACATGGCCTTTCCGTTATTTATAACGGGAAGCGACCCGTCGATGGCAAAGCAGGCGCCGGTGCGGTGCCCCACCGCAGCAGGCTGCAGGCACGAGAAAGTTCGGCAACAAAAACGAGAAAGTTCGACCAATCAGAGGGAGAATTATTTTCTTGACGCTGAAAACAATCCTTGTATTTTTGAACTTACCTATTTGTCCGAAAGCTATCTCTTCCGTTAGTTTCGGGACTTAACGATGTTACTTACCTATTTATCCGAAAGCTATCTCTTCCGTTAGTTTTGGGACTTAATGATGTTAAGCTAAAGATAAAATGACGATTTTGCCCTGAATGAAAAATGAATCGGTGCAGAGCTCAGTTTGTCTGTGTCTAATTTTGGGGAATACTATTTTTAAAACATGTGAAATATTCCTCAACATTAAACGTAGACAAACTGATTCATTTTCCACTCAGATGCAAAATCATCATTTCATCCTTGACTTATAACATCGTTAAGTCCCAAAACTAACTTTCGGGCCAAATAAGTAAGTTCAAAAATAAAAGGAAAAAAGTAAGCTGAGAATCCTTTTCAGAGCCAAGGAAATAATTCTCTCCATAGGTAAATGGTAATGATGGTAGCTTCAGCTATTGCAAACATATTCATTTATGTGGTGAATGTTTACATTTTACAAAGGACCAGGAGCTCAAACGGGAATCGTGTGGATAGATGCCATGTGTTTTTTTTGTGTCACTATACATATACACTATGGAGGGTCCGAGCATTCATGTACAATTTTATTGACTCTCTAGGGCGCCGCTAAAGCGTGTTGTGTTGAATATTTTCTACTCTTAATCTTAATACAAAGACGTATAAATCTTTTGCTTGTTCGAGAAAAACTATACATACACACTAAGTCAGAATACTTCGCACTCGCTGTCAATCCCTTGGTTAATTATTCGATCTTGAGAGGCCAAGCACACGCATGCATGCATGCATCACGGCGAACTCGACACGTCTAGCACGTGAGATTGTTCCCCGGGTCGACGTTCAGCTGCTGGCAGAACTTCTTGTAATAGTTCACCCGGTCACTCACCTTGTCGGGCGCCTGCCCGTCGCACTCGCCGCTGTTGATGGCCCGGGTCGTGGCCCCGAATCCCCGCGGCATGGCCTGGTGCACGTTGGTCATCCAGAACCACAGCGCCGACTGAAAAGAAACGAGGGGGTCCTTGGCCACCGTGTCCGGATTCCTCAGCCCGTCGAAGCCGATTCTCTGTCCCGCAGCGCCGTAATTGTAGTTCCACGAGATCTGCAGCGGGCCGCGTCCGTAGTACTTCTGTCCCTGGGCGCACGGCCACTGCGGGTACGTCAGGTCGCAGAAGTCGTCCATGGCATGCTCGTCCATCTCCCTGATTTGGCACATGCCTGTCGGTTCGTTTATTATATATATAAGCCATGCATGTGAATTAATAATGGCTAAATTTCATTTTTCGAACTTGAACATGCATGAGAGTATTGGACATCCTTCGCAACCCGTAAAACAAGACAAATTTGATCTTCTAGCCGGCTTCAAAGGTGACATTATTTTTTTTAAAGTCAAAACCTAGTTAATCTCTAAAGAAAAATCATAAGTAATTCATATTAAATTAGAAATATACTAAACCAGTACTTTTTTTTTCAAAAAAATTGTTATCTACCTGTTTGTTTTGAATTTTTATTTGAAATTAATTATTTGGATGTTTTTTGTTTCATTTTTCTTAGTGTTTCATTGCATCTAGTCACGTCTGTTGTTATTATTTAAAATTATCATTTCTTGATCTAATTGCATGATAGTACATGTTTGAGACCTTTATTGTTTGAAACTATATAAGCTAATGAAATGTCATAAATCTTTTATTTCTCTCAAAATCATTTCCCATAAAAAGTAAAGAGTACATGTTTGAGACATTTATTGTTTGAAACTATATAAGCTAACCAAAATCATTTCCCATAAAAGTAAAGCCATACATATAGTGAAGCGTGGCATAATCTGTGAGGTTGGTGTTGTCTTCTACGGAGTATGTCTTTCTATGTACCTACTTGAAGACTGTTAGATCCTCTAGGTCGATCTCCAGGTCAGATATAATTCAAAATGATAAATAAATGATAAACATGGCTACGAGCAATAAAACAATAGGAACATAATAAATAAATAATTTCGAAAGAACTCTAAATAAACCATCAATAAATAGATAATATTTTCCTAAAAAAGTTAGTACTAGTTTCATTTAAAATAAATTAGGCTTTGTTTGGATACAAAGTATTTTTGAAGTTCTAGAAGAATACCATGGTATTGTGAAATACTTTAGTTTTAGAGTACCATGAAGTGTTTGGACGTGCAATAAACTTTGTGGTTTTGAATATCATAGTATTCTGAAACTGTAGTCTTTTTGGAGTTTTAAAAACTCCACTCTAGGCATTTTTTTCTAAACTACGATTTTGCACATCAATGGTTCTAAAACTATCATTTCTTTATACTACGGTTTTTGAAACTACAACATCCAAACAGGCCCTTAGTTTGTTTTATAGGAGTATTTTCTAACCTCCGATATACATAACACTTTCGATTTTTAAACCAGAATTATGAGACAGACGATCTGCTGTTCTCTAACAGTTGAAACCAAGCAAATTTGATCATGTAACGAGTTTTCAAATGTTGTTTTTTTTCCGTCTCAAAATAATTTAATTTGGGTTAAACTCTAAATAAAGGATTAATTAGGTACGCCTTTAATAATCGACATATGCAGAGTTGATCGACTCACTTCCGGTCTCGTGCGCGACGTGCGCGAAGAAGGCAGCGATCTCGCGCTTGCCGTCGTCCTCCGTGCCACCTTGCGCGAAGTCCGGGTACTGGTTGGCGGCGTTCAGGAACGCGTTTCGCGTATAGAAGTCCCGGCCCTCGCAGTTACCGTTCTGGTTCTGAGACTTGATGCCGTCGAAGAAGGCGTCGCTGACGACGGTACCCACGTCTGTGCCGCCGCCGGTGGTGGCGGCGAAGAGGAGCGCTAGCCCAAGGGCCAGCACCGTCGTCAGGATCCCCGCCGGCGTTGGTGAGCTCGCCATACTTGTTGGATCACACAGCTTCAGCACTAGCTTGTTGTCGTTGGGTGATTGTGAGATAGTGTGTTCGTACAGTGGTGGTGTTTATATAGGATCAGTGCGTGCTTCTTCTCGTTGCATATTATTGCAGTCAAAGGCGGTCCCTGTGCCGGCGACCCTATGCCACACGGCACGATGCTCGTTTGTTGCCGTGGTGGACCGGGCAATAATCGAAAGCTTCGTGATGCGAATGTGGTGGACGTGATGACCGTAAGTACCCCTGCTGCACTGGGAGAAAACTAGAAGCCGTACGTCCCTGGAGCAAACGCCACTCCAAGTTGTCACCCCTGCCAATGAACCATAGTGTATATAAAGATGCGGCAAGGCACTAGCATGATACCGATACTATTAGGCACTATATCTTATTCGTATCGTGCCATATAGTGCCGTGGTACCAACTTCTCGGTCCTCCAGGCACGTCACTAAGAGCAGGGCGGAGCCAGGATTTGAGCATACGGGAGCCACTTAAGCCTACAACAATCATACATGATGAAATGTATACAAGACAATAGCATAGGTAATATCTAAATAAAAGTTTATTTTACGATATACATAAAAGCTAAAAAAAATTAGGTGAATATTACAAAGAAAAAGGGAACAATTCAATTAGCACTAGGTCTCCAGCATCAGAAAAATATAGATATCACGGTAATAATAGAAACAAAGGAGATAAGAAAGAGAACATAAAGACTAGTCCTAAATAATATAGATACAGTTGGAGATCAACATAAAGAGAGAACAAACAAGCAAAACACTAACTATATTTGTTAACTAGCTATTGAATTGTACCGTATAGGAAAAAGAAAAGAAATAAAAAGACAATAGAAAAGACTAATCCTAGATTATTAGGGAAGAAAAATAAGCAATTAAAGTACTAATTAGCACTATTACCTTGCTAATTGAATGATTAGCTAGCTAATTAAAGAGGGAGCATCGTGGAGGCACCGGCATGTTGGGTTGGGTTGGGGGGGGGGGTGTGCCAGGCCCCCCTCAGCCCCTCCCTCCCTCCGCCACTGACTAAGAGCTATTAGTCGTGCCGTATCGGCACTATTGGCATGGCAGCCCAGCGTGCTCGTGACGGCCTGGGCACAACCGTATAGTCGCCGCCATCTACGCTGTAAGGAAAATGGACCTTTGGTCTATTTACTTTGGATTTTGGTGTTTGATGACCAACACGACCAAATTGGACTAATGAATCTGCAAGTGATTGTTTTGTAGTTCAATAGGATGCAAGACGTGACTTGGACGAAGGTGACGTGATGATCCGATGATCAACACCATAAGCAAGACCTTAGAAGCACAAGAAAAGACCCAACATATCAAGCAAAGTCCAAGCACAAAGATAGGAACCAAGCCGGACGCAAGATCGCGAAGAAACAAGTTCACAGAGGCGACCGGACGCTGGACCGGACGCTAAAAGGTGACTGGACGCTGGCGGCAGATCGACTGGACGCAGGACAGCAGAGTCCGGTCGAGTATAGAGAGGTTCCAGAGCAGCAAAACTGCGACCGGACGTGTTCGATGGCAGGTGACCAGACGCTGGCAGCGTCCGATCAGTTGATCGCGGCTTCAACGGTCGGGACGACCGGACGCGTCCGATCAGGACGTCTTCAGCGTCCGGTTAGTAGCAAAAAAGCGGGATTTCGTCCCCAACGGATACTTTCTCAGTGGGACTTATAAATACACCCCCTAACCGGCCAAATGAGATGAGTGGAGCTGAGAAAACATATCTAGGGTGCTTAGTGATTCATTAGGTGATTAGCGTAGGTGCTTTGCGAAGTGCTTAGGTTGATTAGACCATCGCTTATGCGCTTGCTCTAGGTTTAGGCCTAGTGTTTAGTGAGATTTGTATACCTCTTACCACTCAGTGCTTGCGCGCACCATTGTTGTACATCGGAGGGACTTGTAGTCTTGCGAGATCACACCAACCGTGTTTGTGGTGTGGGCACCACTGTGTACCGGAGGAAAAAAGGCCCGCGGTGTTTAGGCTGGAAGCTTGATAGTGAAGACGGCGGGGAGCATCCAGGAGAGGCTTGCTGGAAGGCACGTCGGAGACCCACTTGCGTGTGGGGAAGGCCCGAGGCTATCCACGGAGTTACCCGGCCGGGAGCTTGGCCCTTGCGAGGGATTCCTTGCGAGGGGCTCCAACGAGGACTAGGGAGAAGCTTGCGCGCTTCTCGATACCTCGATAAAAATACCGGAGTCGTCAACGAAAGTTTGCATATCTCTACCTTGCTCTTTAGTTTCCACATTTACATTGATAGTATTACTCCTTTTGCGGTAGAGATAGCAACACACTCGCAAAACCGTAGTTGCACATTTAGATAGTTTATCTATTGCATAGATTTTGCTAGGGTTAGAAAAAGAGGCCATAGTTTTGAAGTAGAATTTTTTAAGTTGCCTAATTCACCCCCCTCTTAGGCGTCACGGTCCCCTTCAATTGGTATCAGAGCCGGTTGGCTCAATTTGGACCTTTGGCTTAACCGCCGTTGAGCCGACGCTATTTAAAGTGGTTGTGATGGATACCTCTAGGCCTCCACACTTTGACGGCACTAACTTCCCCTATTATAAAGCTAGAATGGCTTGCTACCTTGAGGCGGTTGATTTGGGAGTTTGGAGAGTCACTCGTGACGGGATAAAACCCATTAAGAATCCCGATAAACCCACGAAGAGTGAATAAAAGAAAATTTATTTCAATGCTAGAGCTAAAAATTGCTTATTTGAATCATTTAGAATGGATGTGTTTAACCAAGTGTTCACTTTAAAGACGGCACATGAAATTTGGTTAAAACTTCAAAAGCTCCATGACGGCACATCAAATGTCCGTGAGCAAAAACATTGTCTAGCTAAACAAAATTATGATTCCTTTACAATGAATGATGATGAGCTTATTCGTGATATGTTTTCTCGTTTGAGTCTAATTATCAATGAGCTCTATTCAATAGGACTAACAAAGCTAGATGATGCGGACATCATGAGGAAGATCATCTCCATGCTACCACAAAAGAAATATGCAAGCATCATCTCCATGCTACCACAAAAGAAATATTCAGCAGGTTGCGCCCATGTAAGGCACCGTTCTACGGGATCATCCTAGGGAAGGAAGATGTGCCCCTCGGGCGCTGGCTCAATGTCACCTTCAGGCAGCTGGACCACTTTCGGAAGGAGTCGCTCACCTTTGAAGTGGTGGACTTCCCTAGCATGTACCACACGCTCCTTAGGCATCCATGCTTCGCCAAGTTCATGGCCGTCCCCAACTACACCTACCTAAAGCTAAAGATGCCCAGTCCGAACGGGGTCATCACTGTCGAAGGTAGCTTCGAGCAGGCCTACTACTGTGACCAAGACTGCGTTGCCTAGGTGATCACATTGTCCACACCCTACGGCCCCACTGGCTCTGGCCGTGGCGTAGGAGGAGCGGCGGTAGAAGGAGAGGCCCTGGTAGTGATGCTCGATCGACCGAGCTCCAGCAGGGTGCCCGACGCTGCTGGCAGCTGAGACGGCACGGCTGGACCCTCCATCCAAGTGCTCGGCCCCCCAGAAGGGGCTGACCTGATCGAGGTGAGTTCGGACCATTCCCCTGAGGGAAGGACAACGTCGAGCCCTTCGCCCGACATCTTGGCGCCCACTCCAGATCAGGACGGCCTACCTCCTTCGCTGACGCACCGCTCCAACAACAAACACCAAGATAAGTCTCCTCTACCCAACCCTTTCCTTCTTCCTTGCATGATTTTCCCCGAGCGACTCCATGGACAATCGATCAAGCAAGGAATGGCTAACTCATCACTGATTGCCCTCTCGGAAGATATGTTGTGACCAAGGACGCCTCGCTACATAGGGTCAGGGATGAGGGAATGAGCCGAGCGATGGGAGACCCAAGCAAGGGATCAGTGCACGCTGACGCGATGACCCTGAACGTCGCACGACCAGCTATGTCATCCTCCCATCAGTCGTTTCCATTTCATTTCAATTCAGTTTCGACTATCGGGTCTATCGATGGATCAAGTCTCCAAGCCACACGATGGCACGGGGCCCCCCAAATGGGGCATTGCCGAGGGTTCGAAGGCCGGCCCACAAGGCTTCAAGGCCGCCCAAAGCACCTAAAGTGCGAGGGACATTCACGGGTGGGCACAAGCGGCCTTAGCCGGGTGCTTAGAAGTGGAACCGGCCGCTCGTCGAACGATGTCCGAGTACTAACCTTGAGCCGCTCGTGGTAACCCAACGAGGGAGGCAGCGAGCCCTCGAGCACCGGTCGAATGGGCTCGGGAACTATACGAGTGGCTCAGTCGAGAAGCAGAGAATCTCCCCTCTAGGGGACCGAGACCAAGGCACGAAATGACTGTATACTTTGGGTTCTCACGGACTCACCCGCTAGTAGCACGGGCGTGGCACTCCAGGCCACCAAGGCTAGCGTCGTAACAAGCCCATCCCAATGAGGGACTAAAGTCTCTGAGCACGACCTGAGAGCATGAGATCACTCACTGTAGTGAACTCGTTACCTAGGCATGACCCATCAGCTCCGACACTCCTGGCCACCGAGGCCAGCATTGCTGTAAGCCATCCCAACGAGGGACTAAGGTCTCTGAGCATGACTTGAGAGCACGAGATCACTCGATGCAGTGAACTTGTTACCTAGGAGCGACCCATCGGCTCTGACACTTCTGGCCACTGAGGCTGGAGTCACAGTAAGCCTTCCCAACGAGGGGCTAAAGTCTCCGAGCATGACTCGAGAGCACGAGATCACTCGCTGCAGTGATCTCGTTGCCTGGGAATGACCCATCGGCTCCGACGCACTCCCAGCCACCGAGGCTGACATCGCTATAAGCCATCCTAGAGAGGGACTAAAGTCTCCGAGCATGACTTGAGAGCAATGAGATTACAAATGAAAAGTCATTTCATTACAACGGGAACGACCCGGTTACAATATACGGCGGCAAAAACCAAAAGTCGCCGCCTCCTATACA